ATGATATGTTTGCCTTCTGCAAACGGCGGTAACACGGCAGCGTGTTCAAGCTGGTATTAAACTGCCAGTGATGCTTCACAACAAGATACAAGCTTTGATTTTTGTCTAAATTCCTAGAACTGGTTACGTTTAGTGAATCATACAAAACTTCATCACCAGAAAATTACTTACCCGGATGTTTGACAATCAACAACTCAAGTTTTAATTGTCCAAGAAAAGCCTGCAGTCGTTTTAAAAAGCAAAAGGTGTCCTGATTACCTTTGACAGGAAACCTACTTTGTAACCTTTGTCCAATCGGGACAACAGTTTTCAGAGTTTTGAGGTTTTGACCGTTCAAAGAGGAAGTGGTTGTTGCCTTGCGATTTGGTGCTCTCTGTAAATTCTGTTTCAAGTGTAAGGAGGTTTTTGCAAAGAGTGAGTTCAGTCTTGTGGCATATATTAGAAAAGTACACACATATAGAAAAGTACACACATATAGAAAAGTACACACTTTGAGTTCTCAGTTCTCATTTAGTCATTATAGAAATATAATCGGGTCCCTGCCAGCTTCTGAAAGTAAAGTAATACAACCTCTGATGAGCAGCACATGTTGTATTATACAGTGTCATTATTGAACACGGTCGTTGACTCGACAGCTGTTAGCTGACCTTAGCGGCAACACATTGAAGTAATGATTTTCTGAATGGCTGTCAGTCTGGCATCATTGTCAGTTTTTAAACAGCGTTGCTTTACTTTGAGGTTTTCAGCCAGTTGTTCGTGTACAGCTCTTGCTCTGGTCCACTACAACATTTCAGTCGAGGGCTGGACTTTGACTGGGCCATTGCAGCTCATTGATTCTTCAGCCCTTCTTGTTGCAGGTGTGTTTGGCTCTTTATCATGTTGCATGGCCCATTTGCAGCCAGCCTCTAGATTTTAAACAGATAGCCTTACATTTGACTGTAGGAAACTCAGATAGGAAATGCATTACAATTAGGGCTGGGCTATATCATACCGTTCACGATAATACCGGTGTAATGTTGGGCAGCGATAGGAAAATGAAATATCGCGATAGAATATGGGTAAAACGCGCATGCGCAGTG